GTTTTGTCTGCTGGAGCTCTCCTGAGTTTGTAATAAGCACATCATTGAAAATAGTTCTCCTTTAACCAAGCGACAGTGGAAAAGCTGATCGGCAAGTAGCCAATATGGCTCATTAGCTAAAACTATGCTGCTTGGCAGGGTACCCCAACCTCTATAGGTCATTTTAACATATTGCAGAAAAAAACCCTCGCAAATCAGATAGTCACCTTTACTCATGTAATCAAAGCTATTTATTTCACATTTAGATAGAAGCTTGTTTTTATTTTAAAATGAAAAACATATATCAATTGCAGACAGACGACAGATCTGGAGATTCAGTGATTTGCCGACTGATAGGCGTAGAAATTCAAATTAAAAATGTCTCCGAGACAACTGACATTTACCCCAACAACTCATATTCTACATTTTTTCACTGGATATTAAAGGTTATCAAAAAATGTGAATCCATTCAATAAATGTCAAAGTATTTTCACATGTATTGTTTCAATTTCCTTTCGATGTAAAAAAATCCTTAAAAACACAAACTTGTGCAGTTAAATAGCCTAAACAGAAGATTAAAGAATGCGTGCAAAAACAATTAAGTTTTTCAGTCAAATTTTTCCATTACATTCTATTTTTGTCTCCACACCAACTTGAGTCAATGTAAATTTTCACAAAGTTATTGAAAATTTTTTTTTACTTGATTGTGTGGGTAAATTTTACTTTTTTTATTTTAATCTTAATTATCACTGTTTGTTATTTACTTTTTAAACAGTTAGTACTAACTTTTTTTCGGCCTTAAAATGTCAACTTCAAACTTCATGAATCTCATGGGAACTTTCAAAATCAACCAAAAAATAGACATTGTATGAGAAAACGTGTCATTGTATGAGAAATTATGACATTGTATGAGAAAGTATGACATTGTATGAGAAAGTATAATTGTATGACTTTATGTATGAGAAAGTATGACTTTATGTATGAGAGAGTATAATTGTATGACATTGTATGAGAAAGTATGACATTGTATGAGAAAGTATGACATTGTATGAGAAAGTATAATTGTATGACTATGTATGAGAAACTATGACATTGTATGAGAAAGTATGATTGTATGACTATGTATGAGAAAGTATGACATTGTATGAGAAAGTATGACATTGTATGAGAAAGTATGACATTGTATGAGAAAGTATAATATTGTATGAGAAGTATGACATTATGTAAGAGAAAGTATGATATTGAATGAGAAAGTATGAAAATTACTCAGCAGTATTTCCAAGGAATTCAACCTTTAAGGTGTAACCTGCACAAAGAGACAAAATTCACACGTTTTTACCACTGATTGTTGGTGTGGTAATTTGCATTGTGAAAAGGTCGCAGAAGTTTAAAAAAAGTTATGTTTAACATGGAGTCGTCACCGTCTATTATACTAAAAGGTCATTAGAACATGTTATGTCGGCAAAGTCAAATAAATTAGAGAGGTGTTGTAAAATGGAGGTAAAAAACTGAAGGACAAGTCAACATAGAATTAATTCTAGTTGACAATTTACAATAGAAGGTGTCTGGGAATTTCAAATAAATATGACTTGGGAAATATAATAAAAAAATTCAAGTAATGCACAAATTTTTCACCTTTCCCTAAAGAAACTTAAAAAACAATTATAAGTTTGGTGTACAGATTGTCAGATTACAATCCTTTCATTAGAGCTGACAAATAAATAAAAAATAAATCATTCAAAAAGACAGAAGTGACCAATTTTTCTAAGGATGATAAGTTAATCTAGGGAGAAGCCTGTCTCAAAGTTGGCTATTGGACAATCCTCTTGATATTGTTCTTTCACAGATGAGCTGTACCCATTTACAGCAGAAGTGACTGCCATGGAGTAATGAGGGAAGATGACTTATTCAAGGTCACCAGACTTTTCTAAGTCGACTGAGATTAGAACTCATGACCACCATTACTTTCTATTGCTCTATCATCTTCATCTGATCCTCAAAATTTCAGAATTTGCTCCCTCTTTATAATAATAAATAAATAAATCTATGTATATACTGAAGCCGTCTGCTGTTCAGAAAATGTCAGATTCACAGTAAAAATAATATGAATGTAACACAATCATTAAATTAAAAGCTATTTCATTTCACTTTTATTTTGTGTAACAATATGTCATGTATATTTATTCGCTAAATTTGACATTTCTAGTCTTTACCAACATGATGGAAAACGTCAAACCTTGATGATAGCTTATGAGTCATGACCCTTTCATTCTTTATTCAACTACCAGTTTAGTCAAATCTTGACCTTTTACATACAGATTCTTCTTTCTTATAATGGTAATTAAAGGCATTTAGTCCCCTAATTTAGCTGAAGAAACAATTTTTGGTACCCTTATCCCCTATTTATCCTTTGACTGTCTGCAGTCATGAACGGATGCTTAATAAGATACCTTCACACCATAGTGATTACCAATTGTGTATAGTTGTGAATAATGAAGTTACGAATGCAACTCACAACTCAGTTGATGAGAATTGTATTTGAAACGTATGACCGCTGTTCTTATTCACAACCATACACAACTGGTATGAGGGCACCTCCAGATATGAAACACAATAAAAAAATATATATAACTGTTCCATATTAAGGCTATTTCTAGTTTATTGTATCCCTTTAAGGTATCTGAACAATTTTAATGGATACTGGTGTGGTACAAAAATTCAATATTCTACAGAAACCCAATCACTGATGATAAGATAAGATAGGGAGTCAACCTTCTTGACAAAGTGCTTTAACAGATATACTTTCAAGGGTGGGGAATCTGCAAGATTGCCATCAACATAACAAATATCTTGATCAGAAAATAGAAATGAAAAATTGACAACCAGGTCATGCAGGACCAAAAAGCCAGAAAGTCGAAAGGTGGCTAGCCATTCCTTTTATGAAAATAAAAGCCATTGAAGCATGCCTGTAGCTAAATGGGGGTCATGTGGGGTCAGGCCCCTCTAAAATATTTTTGGCCTCCCCCTGAAAAATTCAGAAGACTTAATTGACTTGTTGAGTCATTATAGTTGACCCCCCTTCAACATATTTGGCCGCCCCGTCTGAGACCCTGGGCTAGCTATGGACCTGCGTTGAAGGCTGATCAAGCTGTAGCGTCCCTACTTTTATTAATGAAATATATACAATTCAGACTGCTGACGACTTGAGTGGCACTGCCAAAAGCAGTGGCTAAACTACCAAAGGGACTGGTTGAACCAAGTCTACGGTCCCCGACCCCCAGGATAAAATGCAGGAGTGCATATGTTACAAGAAAAATTTCAATTGGAGGGGTGCTAACCCAATTAAGTTCACTGGTCTCATTTCTCTAGTCCAGCCACTGCTGAAAAGTAATGTGCCATATAAGTGAAGTAATATTCCACAAGTCTTTGTCAGAAGCCAAAATTTCAAACATAGGAAAAAAATATGGAATGTGTATTCCAATAAAATTGAAGAGTTTAGTTATATTTATTTAATATGCAACTTCAAAGAAGGTCTAAACTTGGAAAATATTCAACATTTTAAGTCAATATTCAACATTCATGCAACTATTTATGCAATATGTACATCTTTTGGTCAGCAAACACTGAAAAATTGTTCAAAAACACGTTCATAGAAAGTTAAATACTTTTCAAGTCATTTACCGTCTACTACAGTCACATTCCTACCTCCTTGACAAAAAACTCAAAGAAACCGTCTGCATAATTGCATAATTCAATTAGTTGCACAGTTATGATGATCTCCTGTCGTAGCTGTTTTAAATTGGAAAAAGTAATCCTTGAAAATCTTGTCAAATATTAAAACTGCTTGAAAAAAATGTCATCTCTAAATGAAAAACAGAGAAGTCAGATACCAGCACGCAAATTAACACAACATTATAAAAATATAGAGATGTTTTCTTAAAGATGAGTTTCCTTATATTTTTGTGTCAAATTAAGCAAATTATTTGATTAATTGTTGTTTCTAATGAATTATCATGTATTCTTAATCATATCATTATATTCTTTTTGCATGTAATTAAACAATCATAAATGTCCAAGTATGTACAGTCTGGATAAACAAAAAAAGACTTTTTGACCTTTCTTAATCGGTCACTCATTGGAATTCTGCTGATAATTCTCCTCTAATTTAGCTAATTATGAATAAATAATGATAAACTGATATTTTTCCAAGTCATTAGAACACCTCTACTTTCTATTCATATAAGTATTAGAATTTTCATTTTCATAAATGAAAATAAGGGAACCCATCTTTAATGTCAACCAGAATTTGGACTTAAAATCATGTAGACTCTGAAGTTAGCAGAATTAAGTATTCACATATTTAGAAATCTGAGGCTATTTGTTTTTAAAACATTTGTTGAATTGTTAACATAGCTATCATGTGTAACATTTTACTAGTTATAAAGTTATTTCATTCACAATCTGCCATTTGGTAAAATAATCTTTGAGATTTTCAGATTGACGGCTACATGTGATATAACTGCAGGAATTTCCTGATTATTTCATATATTGAACAAATTTTTACATACTTGTAGCTCAAAAGATTGGATTTTGCGAAGACTGTGCCAAAGGTCATGCTCAAAATCATAAGGTATTCGAAATTCAGCTTATATCCATTCCTCCATTTATAGTCATTGTCCAGTACTAACGATCTGAACCGCAAAATGAAACCCACAATCCAACAACATTTTGACAAACATTATACTATTCCCCTCTGTGTGTTTTGTGAAAAATGCTTATGAAGATAAGATGTAACGGTCATGGATTTAAACTAGAGGTCGCTATAGTGCCACGTATATTTAATTGATATATACCAGTATTAACAGTAAAGCGGTAGTTACAAAATACCATGATTAACTTCATGCACGCCATGTCATATTACTAGCGAGTTCAGGGTATATGACCTTTTACGTCATTCAAACTCAGTGTTCAAAGGGTAAAACAAATTGCCACAAATAACATATCAAAAATTCTTTACTTACCATTCCTTTGCCATCGCACATAGACAATGCTACAGTGTTATTTTCATGTGATGTAACATTTCCAGTATAATGACATGCTGTCTCGTCTTCTTCCAATACTGTCGTTGTTTCTTCATAATTCACAGAGTTATTTCCCTTGTCTTTCCGATGGTAAACTTTGAACCCTGGTGCTAATAATTCCTTGTTTTCCCATAAGTCAATTTCAAACTGTTCTTGAAGACTACTGATGTTGACTTTTAATAGATGATGTTGCTTTAAGCTTCTTTTATGACGTTTGTTGTAAATTTCGTTGGAAAATTCTTCACCTTCTAAACTGAAGATTTCTGGTATCACAATTTCATATTCTGAAAATATAAAAAGGATAATTTTTACTTTTTATTAATATATTTTTAACATTGTATATATATTGAAAATACATGTTATATTTACATATTTACAATATATAATTTACTAATATATAGCTTATTAAACTAAATATGCATTATGATCTTCATATTCAAAATCAACCATGCAGATAACTTGTTTGGAAATGAGGGGTTCTTTCATTTAGATTGACTCTGGATGCATGACCAAAGTAATCAAACTCACTTAAAGGGATTTTAAAGAGATTTTTTTTAAAATGTATGTGTATCAGGGACACTGATAGCATCAATTTGCACCATACCATTTTCCTGCAATAATAAAAGCAAGTGTTTGATGAAGTCACTAATCGCAAAATATGCTTCATCACATAAGGAATTTGTGATTAGTGACATCGTTTTATGCTTAGTTTTAGTGGAATTGCAGGAACCACAAATGTCTGATTGAAAATTGGAATGGTGCAAATTCATGCTATCAGTGTCCCAGATATACATATAACTTTTAGAAAATCTCTTTACAATCCCTATATATGAGTGACTGGCAATTAAAATATTCAAGAAGAAGAAGATTTTGTGTCTGCCAAGCTTTGCTTTAATGGAGACACAAAGTTCAGATTGTGCTAGTAGGCCTACCTACTCAAGAAAAACTATGTTATATTTTTGAATGCTTGTTCTGTTTTCTATTGTTGTTGTTGTGTGCTTGATGAGATTATGTGGGTTGAGGTGTTGCAGGTGTTGAGGGGGTGGAGTGGTATATCAGTGATGGTGTTTGTATTTGTTTGATATAAAATATATAGTTTGTGCATATATCATTTAAATTGTGTTGGCTTGTACACAAGCTGATTACAGCAACATAATCTGTCTATCTAATACACATGTAATTATGTGTTTTTACACATTTTGTACATCCAAATATTGTGTACTGGTAGATATTTTTTCTTTTCAGTTTTTAATTATTATTTCATTATCATTAGATAACAGAAGACAATTTTATGGTATACTACTCTTAAGATTCATAAAATTATGTCAGGAAGGGGTGGGGGACAGAAAATAATGAGTTCTCAATATAGTTTGGGCAGATTTAATCAGATACTAATCCGAGAAGCTTCTATAAACAATACTAATGTGGTTTTGTTTATTTTTTTTATCAAAAGTTAATCCAGTTCAAGTTGTTTTAAAGTGCTATTTGAAACCCTGAGGCTTTAAAACAAGTCCAACCTACGGTGACTATTATATAAGTTAATTACATTTTTTCCATTATCATGTCATCATTTGAGTGAATTTTACCACCTTAGAGACACCCAAGAAATACAAACTTTTTATAACAAGTTTTTAGCGCCATGAAGTCTCATTAAAAGATCAATTGAATCTTGTGAACAGTCTTATGTCTGAACAGAGAGGTATCTTAACTAGACATTTAACATAGAAATATCAACACTATAAACCATATTATTATCTTGTAGTAAATATTAGGCCAGTATTTTGAAATTATGTTTCTCAGATCTAGGGGACAGCTGTATTTTTTTTGGAAATGAAATGGAGTTTTACTCCCTACTCTTCTGAAGGGGCTGATGAAGATGAATATAGATAATACAACTCACTATCAATTTTATAACAGTAGATTTAGATTACTGAGTTGTTTTCATTAATAAAACTGAATAGAATTTAATACAACTCACTATCAATTTTATTATAGTAGATTTAGATTACCAGAGTTGTTTTCTTTTATCAAACTGAGTAGAATTTAATACAACTCACTATCAATTTTATAATAGTAGATTTAGATTACTGAGTTGTTTTCATTAATAAAACTGAGTAGAATTTAATACAACTCACTATCAATTTTATTGTAGTAGATTTAGATTCCTGAGTTGTATTCTTTTATCAAACTGAGTAGAATTTAATACAACTCACTATCAATTTTATAATAGTAGATTTAGATTACTGAGTTGTTTTCATTAATAAAACTGAGTAGAATTTAATACAACTCACTATCAATTTTATTATAGTAGATTTAGATTGCTGAGTTGTTTTCATTAATCAAACTGAGTAGAATTTAATACAACTCACTATCAATTTTATTTTAATAGATTTAGATTGCTGAGTTGTTTTCATTAATCAAACTGAGTAAAATTTAATACAACTCACTATCAATTTTATTATAGTAGATTTAGATTGCTGAGTTGTATTTAGTATTCAAACTGAGTAGAATTTAATACAACTCACTATCAATTTTATTATAGTAGATTTAGATTACTGAGTTGTATTCTTTAATCAAATCGAGCAGAATTTAATACAACTCACTATCAATTTTATTATAGTAGATTTAGATTACTGAGTTGTATTCTTTAATCAAATCGAGCAGAATTTAATACAACTCACTATCAATTTTATTATAGTAGATTAAGATTACTGAGTTGTATTCTTTAATCAAATTGAGTAGAATTTAATACAACTCACTATCAATTTTATTATAGTAGATTTAGATTGCTGAGTTGTATTCAGTAATCAAACTGAGTAGAATTTAATACAACTCACTAACAATTTTATTTTAATAGATTTAGATTGCTGAGTTGTTTTCATTAATCAAACTGAGTAGAATTTAATACAACTCACTATCAATTTTATTATAGTAGATTTAGATTGCTGAGTTGTATTCTTTAATCAAATCGAGCAGAATTTATTACAACTCAGTATCAATTTTATTATAGTAGATTTAGATTGCTGAGTTGTATTCTTTAATCAAACTGAATAGAATTTAATACAACTCACAATCAATTTTATTATAGTAGATTTAGATTGCTGAGTTGTATTCTTTAATCAAATCGAGCAGAATTTAATACAACTCACTATCAATTTTATTATAGTAGATTTAGATTGCTGAGTTGTATTCCTTAATCAAATCGAGCAGAATTTAATACAACTCACTATCAATTTTATTATAGGAGATTTAGATTAATTAGTTGTATTCTTTAATCAAATCGAGCAGAATTTAATACAATTCACTATCAATTTTATTATAGTAGATTTAGATTGCTGAGTTGTATTCTTTAATCAAACTGAATAGAATTTAATACAACTCACAATCAATTTTATTATAGTAGATTTAGATTGCTCAGTTGTATTCTTTAATCAAATTGAGTAGAATTTAATACAACTCACTACCAATTTTATTATAGTAGATGTATATTACTGAGTTGTATTCTTTAATCAAATCGAGCAGAATTTATTACAACTCAGTATCAATTTTATTATAGTAGATTTTGATTGCTGAGTTGTATTCAGTAATCAAACTGAGTAGAATTTAATACAACTCACTATCAATTTTATTATAGTAGATTTAGATTGCTGAGTTGTATTCTTTAAACTGAGTAGAAACTTGATTGTTATCAATTATATTCCAATAGATATATGATGAACTAATACAAAATGCCTCACAGAACTCTGCATTTGAGCTTGTCAGCTTGGCAACCCTTTTATGGGATACACATAAGCCTACATTTGTCTAATTTGGTACGTTTGGTACCTTTTTTGCAAAATTATCTTAACCAATAATCTAAACAAAATAAATGTTATCGTTCACTCGTTCAAAATGACATCATAAGACATCACCTGACAATGTTACAGTTGTTCACGTCTTCAATTACAGAGTAAAACACAAGATAAAAATGACATAGCCTTGTTATTACATTGTAAATATGAAGTACAAATATCCTTGGGCCATATTTGATAGCAATTCAATTCATAGACAAATTTCATTGAATTGAGCCATAATAATACATCATATCTTTAAGATCAAAATCAACTCTTTCTCCCTCTATTTCTTTTTTTTTACCATCACATCTCTACATAATACTATATTTTTTCTTATCAATGCTAAAGAGTTGTTAATAAATTTGATAATATGATAAATACTCTGATGTTTATCATCTGATGTTGATTTTCTCACACTTCTGTTTAATTTGAAATTAAAGATGCACACCCAACAAAAAATACCCAAGTACCTATGATCCGAACCTTATGTCAATACATTGGTAGCAGCAAATGAACTTTCATTTGAGGAAGTATATCAATCATAAATGAGGAAATATTTCGTAATGAAAAGAAATATCAGGTGTCAAGAAGACTAAGCATACCTTGCTAATCTAAGTCTATGCAGTGGGCAATGTGATTTAGTTGTGTGTTTGCAGTCTGCTTAACAAATAGGTGTACAGGTTTGGAATGCTGAATGAGAGCGACCCTAATCAAGTATGAGTATTGTTAAGTAACGGCAAAGAATGCCACAGTTGCATGATCTATATATGATGATGTATCATGAAGGTTCAGCTTACCACATGAGCAGGTCAAAAGTTTAACAAAGCACCAGCAAACATAGTAACATGGTTGAAGCTAAGTGGAGCTTCAAGTAGCTTTTTTGTCCACTCAAAGTGACTGGTTCGCGAGGACAAATCATACAGTAAAGAAAATGGCATAGCATTCAGTCCTTATCTTCTGCTCCAGATTGGGATCCTCAAGACAACCAGCACAAATTTGTTTGGACAATGGCATTAGTCTACTATTTTTCCGTTTGTCAAGGATAATTAGCATGCACTGTCTGTAGCACATGAGGTCTTGGCTTTGTGACCTAACGACTGAAAGCCTTTTCCATGCAATCCCATCCATCTTGCATCACTGACAAAGAGAAATGGCGTGAAAATAGATGTCATCTAGACTTATGCCAGTGCAGGGCCATAACAACAGTGGATATTGCCCGAAAAAATTGATTGTAACCTCTCACCCTATATTGTCACCGCAACTAAACACCAAATTGCCCCTCTGGATATATTACTTCCCCTCCCCCACAAATTCATGTCCAGCTAGGACATGTGCCAGTGTGGAACCTCAGAGCCTTGGCTAAGAATAAGCAACAAAGAAATGTTTGCCAGCCCTGAAGACAAAAAAACACTTAAAGCATCAACATTTAGACATAAAGCGCAAATTGAATAT